AGAAACAGAAATCCTGCAGGAGGCAGACATGTGCTGAATTTTATTGTATGTTGAATTATCACAAACATAGAAAAAAATCATTTGAAGAGTAACAAAGAGTGCTCAGTTTGGGTAACAGTTCACACATTCTCCAACATTAAAAAGCACATTTATAAAATACTCTTTTGCATCGTATTTTTGGACCATTTTAGAAACAGTCTGAGGAAAAAACAAGATCCTACCCTCATTAAAGAAAGCAAGACCCAGCAGCATCCGGTCTAAGGCCAGTGGGGCGATGTCTGTGCTGTGGACAGTGAGAGATATGGCCCCTGCGATGGCAAAGAACAGGTACATGGTGGTGTGCTGCCAGTTCATCAGCTGCTCCCAGTGCTGAGTGGAAGAATCATATAGCTGAAATTTGGGACCACCTGCTAAAAACTGCTCTGCTAACATACCTGTGTAAAGGGCAGAAGAAAACTAGTTGAGTGAAAAAAAAAATTTAAAATAAACTTGCTTTCATAAACTTCCTAAATGGCACATTATAGGAAGCCTAAAGTAAACTTAAAATGTAAAGCATTAAAATATTAAAACAAAACAAGGATTAAAATAAGTTAAACATTAAGACATTTCTTATTTTAATTCACCCTCAACAACTGTACTTGCCCGATCGGGCCACTGCAGCATCGTCACGACTTATCATTTGCCTGTGTTTTTAAGACTTGTTAATTAAAAAAAATTCAAGCGATTAAAAAGCATTTGGGCGCGAAAGACAACTACATTCAGTACTCGCGCGCTGTGTTCTGTAGGGATGCATATTGTACGCATTATTATTATTTTTGTTAAATAAACAAAACCACTGGTAAATAGAACGCACCTTAGTATCGATATTTTTTGTTTGAGTATCGACCCGATTTTATACTTTCGATACTCGCGTCAGTATCGATATATCGATACTTCGGATCGATACGCCCATCCCTAGGTTCTGTGTGAACAGCGCGCGCACAGACAGCCGCGTGAGCCGCCTGAACGGGCAAATACAAAAGTATGTCAAAATACCCGCCCTGGCAAGTAACTTTGTAGCTTTAACAATGATTAATCTATATTGAATTTATACACTGGAGTAAGTTACAGATGCACCGATGTACCGGACATTTTTTGTTTTATTTCAGACTATGATCTGTTCCGTGCTTGCACACAAACTGCACTACAATCATTTTCCTAATGGCCATTTGTGTGGAAATATTAC